AAATTACTATTAAATTATTTGGTGTTATTATTAATTGTACTAATAATTCAATCAATTTTATCTGATATTCTAATAAAATACATAAATTGCTCATGGTTGTCTGGAATACATGTGCCATTATTAGTGCCACCGATTGCTATACCAATAAGTACTGCCACTCCGTTCACCGATTGGTAGAGCGGACCCCCGAAATGGACGCCCTGTTTGTGTCAATAGATATTAATTTTATAAATAAAACTAATTTATTAAAATATTTTTCAATAATGTATTTATAAATTTATTTATTTATTTAAAGCGTTTTCAATATTTGCTAACTTACGTCGCAAACTGATCCACGTAATTGTTGACCAATAATAAGCAAACCACCCTGATCCTCTGCCACATCATTACCTATTTTATAAATCTTAACAAGGCCGGTTTTAAGTTTGAAATCTGGATCATCGGGATTAGCATTTGGATCGTTTTGGTTGTGCTCATAAACATTTAAAATTGCGTATTCATTGTCATCGTTGACACTGTCTTTGACGGGCAAACAAATGCTATTTAATTGGCTAAAATCGGTTGAGTGATCCAAAACAACACCATGGTCCATTTTGATAAGTGCCAGATCAGTGTCGCTCAATACAGTCTCGTTGTGATTATAATCCGGATGCAAATAATAGTCGACCATATGCTGAGATGTCATAGTTTCATTTGTAACATTAAGCTTGCCCAGATATAGTGTCACGTTGGTTACTCTACACACCAGTCCGCAGCTAATTATTTAAATATAAATTACCATCATATATTTAAAAACTTTAGTTTAAGTTTAATATTTACTCTAAATTATGGGCTGCCGTTAAAATCCATTGATTATTCAAAACAACACCGCTTCCCATATAACTATCATAATAGGCAGAGTATAATTAATTAATTTTAATACAATTATTTATACAAATTAATAATAATATCTAATACGTGTTGCCCTGATGTTCCACTAATATGAGAGCATTCCAAGAAAAGTGACCATGGTACAATGCCTGGCCGTAAGGGATGTTATTAACTTTTGAGTCCAGTTTGTTGTGATACTTAAAACACTTGTTATCACTAAAGAGTGGATGTGTTTCCCGACCGCAGGAATCGGTGGTTACGTTCGGGTAGTGTTTGGGACGCGAGTGAACACTACTGTCGCCAATAATATACAAACTAAACACTAAACATAATATACAATTTGTTTATTATATTGTTTAATAGTTATATTTGTAATGATTAATAAATAAAATTAATTTAATTACAGATCATAAACCCAAACAACAGTTTCTCAACATTCATATCTAATATGATTTTATTTGATAATTTGTTTAAAACAATTATTGACATTATTAATTAAGTTAATTGTTATTTACTGTTAAAAGTATTGTGTAACTTATCCGTGATATTGAATTTAATATTTTAATTAAATACAATGAAATGTGATATTCTTATGTAAAGTATTAAATAATTTAACAGTCAATAATAACATATATGTGACAATCTGTTATATTTTTTCTGTTTATATGTAGAGAGTGAGAGAGAGAGAGAGAGAGAGAGAGAGAGAGATTTTATTTGTAAACAAAATATTCTCTGAAACAAATTTTGCCAAAAATTTCATCAAAAATAAAGAATTTATATCAAAGACTTCTATATTTTATTATCAAAAGAAACAATTAATCATTTTATATAACACTGTATTATTGTTAAAGAATTTATTACATTTCATAAGAATTATAT